ATGGGTATACATGGCTATACATGGCTATACATGGCAATACATGGCTATACATAGGTATACATGGCAATACATGGCTATACATGGGTATACATGGCTATACATGGGTATACATGGCTATACATGGGTAAACATGGCAATACATGGTGATACATGGTAATACATGGTTATACATGACATTACATGGCTATACATTGCTATACATGGTAATACATGGTGATACATGGTAATACATGGCTATACATGGTAATACATGGTGATACATGGTCATACATGGCAATACATGGCAATACATGGCTATACATGGGTATACATGGCTATACATGGGTATACATGGCAATACATGGCTATACATGGCAATACATGGGTATACATGGCAATACATGGCTATACACGGCAATACATGGCTATACATGCGTATACATGGCAAAACATGGCTATACATGGCAATACATGGTGATACATGGTAATACATGGCTATACATGACATTACATGGCTATACATGGCTATACATGGCTATACATTGCTATACATGGTAATACATGGTGATACATGGTAATACATGGCCATACATGGCTATACATGACATTACATAGCTATACATGGCTATACATTGCTATACATGGTAATACATGGTGATACATGGTAATACATGGCTATAAATGGCTATACATGGCTATAAATGGCTATACATGGCTGTACATGGGTATACATGGTAATACAACAACAACAACAACAACAAGTTTATTCAGTATTACCATTTTGTACAGGTGTTACCGATTAAAATAACAATAATAAACAGCTAAGTTTAAGGAAATACAGGTATGATGGAATAGTAGAATTAACTATGTTTCTTTCGTCTTTCAAATGCTTGAAAGATGAAATTAGCAGCTAGCCTGCTGATATGTGAATCAGTATTGTTAAAAAGAAAACAGACTTTATCATGGATATTGTAATGTGTAAATAATGTATTTCGGTCGTTGATTTTAATAAAAAGAGTCTTTCTCAAATCATTGTATTGATCACAGTGAAATAATATGTGCAGTTCATTTTCAACCGAATTTTGGCTGCAATGATCACAGATTCTAAGGTCTTCAGGAGTTTTGGGGATTGTAAATCTTCCAGTTTCTATTTTGAAATTATGATTTCCTATCCTAAATTTGGAAGCTACACGCCTATGTTCAGGATTCGGATATGATTGATGAATTCAGAGTGATTTGTTTCATTTTTAAAGATGGAGTAGAATTTTAGTTTTTTATTTGTTCTTATCAAATTTAGCTGGTGGTTTTTCAGATGTTTTGACAAAGTATTCTCAGCTTTGGATAGGAAAGTAGAAGGGTTTTTAAAGTTAACTGACTGTTTATGAATATTAAGTTGTGTACTCAAAAGATTTATTTTATTTATTAGACCTGATTTATTTTCTTCGCCATTTTATCCGATATGTTTAAGCAGAGTTTAGCGATGCTGTCAGGGGTTGATTTTCAAGGTGAATCCAAAATTTGAAAATGTTCATTGTTATTTGTAAATTTAGAGATAATCTACCAAGCTCATTTCTCGATGCAACATTCGGTGAACGTTTGTTTAAACCTAAACACATCTTACAAAAATGTATATCGTTTTCTCAATCAAGTCTTTATCCCAGCGGCTATAATCACTTTTATCATAGATTCCCCAAACTTCAGAGCAATACGTTAAAATTGGGAAAAATAGTGTATTGAACAGTTTGTTGATGATGTGAATTGGTAATTTTAGAAAATCTAGATAACGACGAGCGGCAAAAAAAAGGATCTCTTTGTTTTTCTGTTAAGTTTTCCTTGTGATTTGTAAAATTTCCATTGGCTGAAAATTTCACTCCAAGATAGGTATAGTTATTGACGATTTCAATGTTTTCATTGCTAACCATAAAATTGTGTTTATCTATTGCTGATTTTCTACTTTTCTTTTGAAATACAATAACTTTGGTTTTAGTTGGATTAATCTTAAGAAGCCAATCCTGACAATATTTTGATAGTCTGTCAAGACTTTGTTGCAAACCTTCTGCCGAGGTAGATATTAGAAGTAAGTCATCGGCATAAAGTAGACAGTTGAAGTGAGAACCATCTGGTAGTAAGATAGAATCTTTAGCATTGTTATTTAGAATGAGGGTAGTTCGTTTAGATAAAGGTTAAATAGAAGCGGCGACAGTATACAGCCTTGTCGTACACCTTTATCATAGTTGAAAAATTCTGATCGAGTATAATTGTCTTTCACACAACATATTGAATTTGAATACATGCTGGAAATTATTTTGTAAAAGGAGCCACCTATGTTATATTTCAACAGTTTGTATAGTAAACCTTGGTGCCAAATTGAGTCAAATGCCTTTTTAAAATCAACAAAACAAGTATAAAGTTTACCTCTGGGGGAGTGGGTAACATGTTGGTCTATTAATGTTCTTAAACTAAAGATATGTTCGGACGCACGATGTCCGGGCACAAAGCCAATTTGGGAGCGATGAAGTATTTTATGATTGTTTGAAAAGTTTAATAATCTCGTATTTAAAATAGAACAAAAGACTTTGCCAAGACAACTATTAATGCAAATACCTCTGTAATTTGAAGGGTCATCTTTGTTTCCAGATTTATGCAAGGCAGTGATTATTCCATTACTCCATGATGTAGGAAATGTTCCAGATTGTAGAATCAGATTAAAAAGTTTCTCAAGTGGATATTTTATAAAGCTTGAGCTTGTTTTAATCATTTCATTGCGTATTCCATCAAGTCCAGCGGTCTTCTTGTTTTTTAGTTTTTTAATTGCTTTATCAATCTCTTCAATGGTTATTGGGTTGTCTAATTCCGATTGTAAATGGTTGCTGTCCTCCAAACGCTTTTTATCGTTTAACATGTGTATTTGAAATGCCGATAATGTATTAGGATCAGGTGCTGAGTGTAGCATTTTAAAATGATCATAAAGTTTATTGGTCGGGTTTTCGTTATTATTATAAGACAAGATGTTTTCGTTCATTGACTTTAGAGTATCCCAAAATCTGCGGTTATTTTCGTTACTAATCAGCTCATTTATTTTAGAGTCAACAAATTGTTGTTTTATAAGTTTTTTAAAGGTTTTATTTTGAACATGATATTCTTTTCTGAGTTCGGTATCCAGAGGATTGCGGTGTTTTTTGTTAGATAACTTTTTAAGTGAAGATCTTAACGTTTTGCAATCATAATCAAACCACTTCTTAGTAATTGGCTTTCTTTTAGATTTCTTTTGGCTACTTAATTTGAGTGAACGTTTTGCGGCCTCAGTCATAATGTTTGTGAATTGATTGGTAGCATTTTCAACATCTGTACTGCTTAAATCGAAGTTTGTACTTTCGAAGAGATGTAATAAAGACAGAATAGCGTCGGAACGAAAGGCAGCAGTGAATTTTGCTGCAGACGTTTCGTCCCAGACATACTGTTGTGGAAGCTTAACGTTGTTTCTCTCTTGAAAACTGTTATTATTATTTGAGAGGTCTGCACCAGTTTTGATCCAGCAGACAATTTGAGAGTGATCTGAAAATATGTTTGGTTGCTTTACGGTGAAACCTTGAACCGAAGTGAACAGGTCATGGCTAACGATAATATAATCTACAGTACTTATTCCATTAATAGAGTGAAATGTGAATTTTCCTAGGGTATCTCCCTTCGATCGGCCGTTTAGAATCCTTAGATCACAGGTTTTACATGATCGTTGACAATGTTATCAAAGTTCTGTCTTTTAGTGAGATTGGGTGGTGGAGGAATGTCTCCGCCAGGTATAAACTTGTCACTTTCATCCGTGATAAAATCATTTTCTTTTCCAGTTCTAGCATTAAAGTCACCGGCTAACACAATTAAACCTTTTCTGTGAAATAAAGCTATATCTGTTTCAATGTTGGAGAATAAATCTGGGTCAAAATATGGTGAGTCGTGGGGAGGAATATAGAGGGCACATAGATAAACATCTTGTTCTAAATTAAAAAACGTGTGATTTAGTTTACACCAGATATAATTATTATGTGATTTAACAAATGAAATGCCACTTCGTAAATAATTCTTGTACCCTAGGACTAAACCCCCTGAAAGTCTTCCAGTTTTCTTTTTGTAAGTTTTTTGGGCTGCGTTTGAAAAAGTGTTAAAGCCAGGAATTTGCACGTCATCTTTCATCCAAGATTCAGTTAAAATTACAATGTCATGTTTATTTATATGATTGATGAATTCTTCATTTGTTAATTTGTTCCCAAATCTTAAACGATCAGTTAACCCATGAACGTTCCAGCAGCTAAGACTAAGTATTGATTTACGACTTACACTTAAAGGCGAACGGCAACCGCTGAAACACATTTCCAAATCGGGGTATCATGACGGGGTGTACGCTCAAAATAAGGGAGATCAAAGCTTTCAAAAAATAAAATAAAAATAGAAATGAAAATAAAAGATAAAAAAAAAAAAAAATTAATAATAATATAATATAGTAAAATAATAATAGTATAATATGTTGATATATCTAAAATAAAGTAATTAACTATAAATACCTTAATTTTGACGCATTGTTTCATAAAGGTTTAGTAAATTTAATACGGTTTCAATGTTCAGTGGCGGCGGATTTGTGGCGTTACGTTTCACCACCGACGAGTAAAGGGGTTTTCCACCCAGGCCAAGGTGGTTGTTTCCAGGGACAGGAACTCGAGGGAGAAACTCTCGTTGACCAGGCGTTGATAAAATTCTGCTCGTCGGTGATGGTGGTAGGTCTAGTACTCGAGTGTTGAGGTTAGACGGTAAGTTCCTTGATTGGATTCTCCTAAGTCTGTTGAAAACAGTGTCCTTCAAGTTTGTCACTAGGAGGCCAATTCGCTTGTGTTTAGATGTTTGCTGTCGTAAAGATTTTCAACAGTGATATTGTCGTTGTTCACTAGATGGACATTTGGGTATGGGGCGCAGAGATGTCCAAGTTTTGTTTTAAATTCTTGCCTTTGTTTATCGATACCGTCTGCGCGGATGAGGAGCGATGGGACAATAACTTTTGACGATGAGTGTTTCTCAGAAACAAGTTTGAGTAGTTCATGGTAGTTACTAATGCATTGTGAAGTGCGCAGTTTTTCTAAATCATTTGTGCCAGTGTGTATGATGATGTGGCTTGGATTGCTGAGATCATTTGTTGTAAGAAGATCAGTGGCTGATGTAATAGTTGGTGTGAAATATTGGTGGGTAGGGGTTCTCGGACTGAAGCGCTCACAATCAATGTATTTGCCATTAGAGTCAATTAGCATGATGATTGAATTGATGGTGGACTGGTTTTTCTCATGCTGAGGAGGGCGATTTGTTTGGGATTTTTCGTTTTCTTTCCTGGTGAGGATTTCCTGAATGGCGTGACGGACATCATTAGGTGAATGCGAAGGTGAAGCCGTGTGGATATCGCCGTCACCTGGATCGTCATCCATCAGACCTGAGAAACTGTTTGATAAAGGAAGTGAGGCATCTTCTGGATATTGAGATTGTTCCGAGGGGGGATTTGTTTCCATTGTCGGTAGAGACTGGCTATTGTGATCAGACAGATCAGAACGCCCTGCTGGGCCATTGATTGTATTACTGCCAGTGCTATTTTCTGAAGAGTTGTTGGATTGCAGAAGGCACTTAATTTGCTTGATTTCTGATTTAATAAAGTGTATGTCCGCTTTGAGTTTAGAATTCTCCGATTTCATTTTGGCGTTTTCTGCTTTAAGGAATTCATTTTCAGTTTCCAGGTCCTGCATCCTAGAATGAAGGGTCTGAGAATCTACTTTGGTTGAGTTTCCCATTTGTGTGATTTTGTCTTCTAGTGCGAATACTTGTTCCTCGATGTGATGATCGTTTGCGTTTCTGAGTTCTGCCACATCCGCTTCGATTTTGCTGATTAATTCTTTCAGAGTTGCGATGCTGTTGCTTTGTCTGGGGGTTAATAGGGAGTCAAGCGAATTCCTTCTCTTCCGGGGCTGAGGTGTTGCGCAACTGGCCATGTTGTCTTCACCGATATCTGATTTTGTTTTCAGATTAGTGGGGAAAGCATGGTCGAACTGTTCGGTGCATGTGCCAGGTTGGTCGGCTTTCCTCTTCTTCAGAGATTTTGTTTTGTTTGTAGGTAGGCACAAGACCGCCGTATCCAGGTTCTTGAAAAGGAGTTCGGTATCTTCAAACGTGAATAAAGGCTCCTGCGGAGCTTGGTCAACTGATGTGTCTGTGAAATCCTTTAGTAGAGGGAATTCATGTTCTGCCCACAGTTTGTAAGCAATTCCCTGGAACATAATAACTCCAGTCGTCAGATATGCGTGAATTGTGATTAGGGTAGATTTAGTTTCATCATCATGAGAGGCAGACTGGCTTAGGTCACCGCTCGCGTGTGGATGATCTTCAGCGATACTCAAAATCTTGATTTCGATGTCTTGAAAGGGGGTTGTACCAGAAGATTCTTCATGGTCAATCCATATTACTTTGAAGTGTGTGCTGTCCTTGAGTGTTTCATAATATCTTTGTTGGAAAGAGTAGATCCAGTAATGGATTCGATCTGGTGATGTCAGGAATGAGGCGCAATGTGCTGAGGGCTTGTAAATATCCAAGTCAATAGATTCAAACTTCAGAAGTTTCCTTTTTCCTGATTTCTCCTTAAAATCACTAATAATATACTTTGCTTTGATCTCCTCCATTCTGAAGGTATAAACCCATAGAAAGAATGAGTTAGCGTTGAAAACGAAAAAACAATTACGGAGAGACACACAAGGCACGTCCGTCGCGCGCCATGCTGTTTACATGTAATACATGGTGATACATAATACATACATGGTGATACATAATAATACATGGTAATACATGGCAATACATGGTGATACATGGTAATACATGGCTATACATGGTAATACATGGCTGTACATGGTAATACATGGCTATACATGGCTATACATGGGTATATATGGCTATACATGGGTATACATGGCAATACATGGAGATACATGGTAATACATGGCTATACATGACATTACATGGCTATACATGGCTATACATTGCTATACATTGCTATACATGGTAATACATGGTGATACATGGTAATACATGGCTATACATGGCTATACATTGCTATACATGGTAATACATGGTGATACATGGTAATACATGGCTATAAATGGCTATACATGGCTATACATGGCTATACATTGTAATACATGGTGATACATAATAATACATGGTAATACTTGGCAATACATGGTGATACATGGTAATACATGGCTATACATGGTAATACATGGCTGTACGTGGTAATACATGGCTATACATGGCTATACATGGGTATACATGGCAATACATGGCTATACATGGCAATACGTGGCTATACATGGGTATACATGGCTATACATAGGTATACATGGCTATACATGGGTATACATGGCAATACATAGGTAGACATGGCTATACATGGCTATACATTGTAATACATGGTGATACATAATAATACATGGTAATACTTGGCAA